TTCAGTCATTGCTGTTCGGGGCGGTTCAGTGACGCAAAAGGAGCTGATCACAGGCCGTTTTTTTTTTTTTAACAAGTCTCTTAAGGAGCCAGTTCTTCTGAGTAAAAAGTCCTCAGCAAATAAGTGGGGGGGGGGAAGGAGATAGACAAGATCGCGTCCCAATGTCACGACATTACGCAATCCCATCAATCTGACAACGGGGCTGGGGGGGCGGGGTTAGGTGGAAAAGGCGTTTCAAACGCTACTGCAGAGAGCCACCTAGAGGGCCAACGCGGGCAACGCCGCCAAACCAGGGTTTTCGGGACACCCCCTTGCTCAGCAGAGCTGCTCTCCCAGGACCTCCTCCAGGTGGGCTCCCGAGCCCCGTCGTGTGCCTGCCATTACCGGGCCAGGAGCTCGGGTTTTACTGCTCTGCCCTCCCTCCCGCCCCAGTGAATGGCTCTACGTGTCCCCACGCAGGGGGGTCAGCACGGGCGCCGGGGCTGCCCCCAGGAAGGGCACGGCAGGGAGCGGGGCTGAGGCCTGCCCTCCGGTCCGGGGTGTCTTCAGAGGTGAGCAACCAAGGGAGTGAGATAAAGGGAACAAGCGGTGCGGGGAGAAAGCAGATTGTTTTTTCACACGCCGTTCCGCTGGATTCTGTAATTAACACATCTACATCTGTCTATCCATCTGTCCATTTATCTATCTATCTATCCATCTGTCTATCTCACACACTTAGCCTGCTTAGAGAGGGAAGGCAAGATTTCCGCCCTCTCCGTTTCAGGGAACTCGTCTGAAGGAACTCAAGCTCTCCGCTGTAAAGCTGCTGAGCTGTGCCAAATGGTTTGTCAGGGGTGTGAGCACCCCAGATTTTGAAAGCTGGGCTTCAAGTTCAACGCCGCCACGTAGCGCCCTTCAAATTAGTGGACCCAGCTGAAACTATGATGGCCTGCGCACTTGTGCCCTCCGGTCATATGAGAGGAAATAAAAGAGCACTGTGACATGACAAGAACATTTCCATCTTGCTCACCCGTTGGTTAGTAGGCAAGGGGCAGGGATAACGGCACTGTGGAGGGAAGGTACGACAGGGAGGGATGCAAAAGGCCTTGGTGGCATGGCAGGTATGGCAGGGCAGGGGACACAGCCGCTCACCTGGAGCATCACTTCTTTTAGCATGGTAAATGCAGTGCCCAGAGCCAAACACCGGGCTACAGAGAGCCGGGGAAGTGTGGCGCTACCGGCGGGAGGAGCAGCTGAGGGTTGGTGCGCTGGGTCAGGGCTGCTTCGGATGGCTGGGGCACTAGGTGCCCGTTCCCCTCCGGCTGCCCAGCCTCCCGCATCGCGCCCCCCGCTCCCGTCCCCTCGTGTCGGGCTCCCGAGCGCTTCCCCCCACCGGGCCCATCTCCCAGCGCAGCCCTAACCTCGCAGCAGCACTGCTTTCCCCGCCGAGCGTGGAGGCTGTCATCGGACGAGTGTTTTCTCTCGCTGCTGCCCCAGAAAGCGAGTTGAGGCCCTTCCTGAAGGGGAAGCGCTCAGCCTCGCACCGCACCGCTGCATTAGTGAAGGTGACAGAAGTCCCCCGGAGGTCCCCTCGCAGCCCTGGGCCCAGCCACGACAGTTGTAACGCTGACAACTGCAAGTCCTTGCATTTTACAAGAAGGTGCTAAAAAGGATGCACGTTTTATTTCTTTTTTGTTGTTTGCTTTCTTGATTTGGACCGCTGAAATTCAAATTTTTTCAAGCTTTTCTCGACAACACTCAGGGGACAAGATTACTTTTCTTTTTATCCCAAAGGTGAGATTCTCTCTTAATCACACTGTGTTATCCAAATGTGAGGAGCTTCACATTCAAATGATGACTGCTAGCAACACCAAAACCCCTTCGTATTGCCTGGCTTAGAAGCTGGCTGGCCTGACAATTTTGCTCGAGCATGTCCTATTTAATGGAGGATTCACAAAATAATTACTATTACAGGATGAAATGAATATAACCAGCAGCTGCAGGAATAGCTGCAGTTATGGACACATCAGGACACACTTAAGGATTTTTTAGGACAGCACCCAACACTTGATGTTTAAACCAAATACTGTTTGCAACTCCTATGATCTAATACCACCTTCCCATGCTGATTTCTCTGATACGCAGTCATGGCCAGTGACTAAACCATTCTCATTTCGCTTGATCTGCCAAGTACCGTTGACTTGACTGATTATTCGCTCTTCAAAATCTTGATTGTTTTTGACTCCTACAACTCATTTCTTTCATAGATCTCGTCAATATTCCCTTCAGAAGAGCTTCATGATTCACCTTTCAACTTTCTGCTGAAGTGCTGTGCTGCTCTGCTTTTGGTCCCAATTCCCGTCTTCATACATACGGTATTTCTGAGTGATCCCTTCCTGGTAATCCCAGGTATTCCCACACTTCCAACCCATTTAAAACAGGGAAGAAATATTTGCCTTTTATGTTCTTTAGCTGTCCTCCCCTCTCGCCTACCCTACTCTCCGATACAGGTGTCACCACATCAAAGCTAGAGCAACAGATGGTCACTCAAAGAATGTGTTGTGCCTCTTGGTGTCACCTGGTCAGCAGATTTTTGGAAGCCAGACGTGGAATTTCTTGAAATGGTTACTATGGAGCATCCACACACAAAGATGCAAATCACAGAATTAATGAGCAGAGTATTCAAGAAAGCCATACAACGGTAGCATTGTGGCAGTTTTCCTCACGGTGGGTTTTTTTTTTTGGTCCTTTTTACTTCTAAGTACAGGAACAGAAGTAACATGCATGCCTCTCCTAACAGAAATGTGCTTTATTTGTGTTTCAATGGATGTGGAATGGAGTCTTTACTGGATATTAAAGTATAATTTGATTTATCTGAAGGGTTCTGTAAGATAAGCAAAATCATTAGATAAAGCCAGCAGGCTTCTAGAAAAGTCCACCATAATCCCTAATCCCGTATCTGAGGGAAGAGATGTCAGGCAGCTAGCTGGAAAGGGCCGTGCTCGGTACAGCTGTAACACTGCTGGCAGGGCTGGATGTTACAGGCGGGGTTTAGGGCTGCTGGAGCTCTTCCCACCAAGGAGTGTTGTGTCTGTACCTTTGTGTGAACCCCAGCTTTCACCTCTAGAGCACACAAGTTAGTTTTGCAGGTAGGCCATCTGTTTATTTATGTTTTGTCCTTCACCCGGGTGGCATAGACGACCTTTACTTAAATAGAGTTTTAAGTAATCAACTTTTGGTTAATCAGCATTTGTTCTTTGCTGGGAAAAAAACCCACAAAAACTTTGAGGATATATTTTAGGTACGTACACAGGGTGAATATAGCCACAGAGAGTCTGAATTCCCGTAGCTTCCTTTACGGTCCGTACGAATAATAGGAGCCCAGCTGCTCAGAAAATCAAGCCAAGGCTCTTTCTTGTCTCACTTTCTCTAGTGGGGGGTGAGCAGCAGAGAGGTCTTCTCCTGAATACCTGAGTATTCTGTACTCAGCCCAAAGTTCTGGTTTATAGGAGGCCGAAGCGAAAAAGGAACAGATTATCCTCCCTCTGCTCTTAGAGCATTTTCAGCATCTTCATCAGAACAGCCCCTGGGAAGTCATTGTTGTAAGTTAAAATGTGGCTGTCATCCAGGCAGCAAGCAGAGCACTGTGAACTCAAAGCTGCGGTAACTTTAGTAAGTGTGACATTCACTGGGCAGAACGTGAGCTCCTGTTGCAACAACACACGCATACTTTTTTGCCCATACTACTGAAGAGAGAGGGAAAGACAGTGAGGCCATATACTTTAGCGCTATGAGCCAGCATTTTGGAAAGCTCGGTAGGGCTGCAGCGTCTTCACTTCTCTTCTTCTTACTGGTGGGTGAGTACCGAAAAACCTTCCTTAATTTTAAGAAATGTAGCTTATTTCCAGAGCTTGGAT